TAAAAATCGATTTTTATATTTTAAATAATCAATTAATTGCTAAAAATCGATTTTTATATTTTAAATAATCCATTAATTACTAAAAATCGATTTTTACAATTTAAATAATCAATTAATTAATTTTAATCGATTTTTACAATATAAATAATCGATTAATTCATAAAAAATCGATTTTTACAATTTAAATAATCCATTAATTCATAATAATCGATTTTTACAATTTAAATAATCAATTAATTCATAATAATCGATTTTTATAATTAAAATTATTGATTAATAACGTTAAATCGATTTTTATGATTAAAATAATTGATTATTATTATTTTTAAATATACTGACTATCTGAACAAATTTTTAATCGATTATTAGGAAGGAAATAATCGATTTTCGGCCACTGTTCATCATCTTCTTCCTCTGTTCAATTTTTAACATTATCATTTTTAATTACCAAACTTCGATTAAATTATATAGGAATGTTCCCCAATGTTCACAGATCATTTTAGAGTCATTAATTTGTAGTTTTAACAACAATTTCTTGGTTTATGATTCTTGGTTTTTCAAACATGTCAAACATAAAACTCAACCAAACGACCGTTTATGAACGTAAAAACGATCTATACGAACATTCTAATCACTAGATATATCTACGGGCTTACCTCAAAGGTAAATGAAGGTTTTGAATAATTTCCGGTGAAACTTCCGGCGAACACCACGTCTTGTTCCGGCGACCTCTCACCAAATTGACAACACCACTGCGTTCTCCACACTCAAGGCTATCTCTCAGAATGAATTTGATGAAGAATGGTGAAGAAATGGTGAAGTTGGGTTTCTTATATAGTAAAAGAATGGAGGAAGAGGCCAAGGTGATGATGTATCCGTTCCTGTTTCGGCGTCTCAGTGGAGGGGGCTGCGATATTTCTTCGATTCCAAACGCAAGTCCCTGATTGGGACTAATTTGGTCCCAGTCGGGGAACACTTTTTGGTCCAACTTTCTTCGAATTGAAATCCGATTGCACCGTTGCGATCAGACAGTTAAACTCTATCTAACGATATAATTTTTATATTTATTCGTTATACTTTTTCCGACATCATATTTTTGGGTGGTTGACTTTGACAGAGTCAAAATTGGTTTAATTGACCTTTATTCAAAAAGGTTCTCACATTTAATTCATATTATTTATTTCAATAAATCATTTCAAAGTTCACATTATAAACAATTTCTTCATTTATTCTTAATTTGGGTCTGTACTCAGGTTCCCAATCAAGATCACACAATAAATCAACATGTTGGATTTATCTCTATGAGATTTATCCCAATTATGTTTATTGGATATCAATATATATTTTATTTCAGCCCAAAGCCCAACAACAAATTATTTTAATCAAAACAAATTTTGTTTAATTGAATATTTAATTCAATAAATTTTAGGATATATTTTGGGGCATTACACGGCCAACTTTAATTTGCACCCCAAAAAAGTACTCCTTTTTGTCCAAAAATTATCTTCTAATTACGCGTTATGATTTTTGATTGAATTATTTTTAAATTATTTTATATGAACAATAGTTTGTGGAATTAATCTTTGTGTTTATCTTTACTCTTTAGCACGGAGTATCAAAAATGGAGTTTCCTAGTCTTAAAGGCAAGCCCAACTAACAACTTTATAGATCTCACTTGGGTAGTATTACACTATTACTCTCACCAAAACGCCTTAACTTAATGCTCCGATCACTCCGTCCCCAGAAGAACATCTCTTATTGACATTTTGATAAATTAAATGAGAGATATTTTGGTGTTAACTTTCCAAAAATAACTCTGATGTGATGGATAAAAGTAAAATGTGATTGATAGATTATTAGTAAAAAGAAATGATCTGATAGGTAGGGCATGAAAAAACAAGGGATTGAAGAGGTTTTTTAAGAAAAAAGAGAAGTTCTTTTGGGAACAAAGAAAAAACGAAAAGGGAAGTTCTTTCGGGGACGGAGGGAGTAGTTGTGATGGAATTCGGTATTGATAGAGTTGGTATTATGGCACCCGATCACCGGTCGTTGATGTTGATTACGGCCGGCCACACGCCACAACCCATACTTTCATCACACTTCACCATCACATTCTCAACATTCACTTTGTTATAATATCATCACACTGTCAATGTTCACAATAATGTCAAATTCAACTCTTATTTAATGAATAAAAATAATGTCAGCTCTTATTTTGATATTTTGATACTTCATAACATGTTACTCCTTCCGTCCTAAAACTTTCTTTCCAGACACGGCAATTTATATTTATTTGTGTTTTTTCATGGCCTATATCATAAAATAAAATATTCTTGTCACCACTTGTTTTGTTAAACTTTTGATGTAGTTTTTAAATATGTAAGTTTTATTTTTTATTTTTATACCAATATTTTAATAAAATAGATTGAAAAAACTTGGGATTTTTCTTCGTTTTGCGCAACCGGATGTTTAGGAGTAATTGAACCAAAATATATAGGTTCACCCAACCTCATTAGTATGAGGCCTTTTGGAAGTGTCCAAAAACAAATCCGTGAGGGCTTGACCCAGAGCGGACAATATCATACTAATGCGGGGTTGGGGTGAGGGCACGCGCAGTCCCAACAGAATCCTGGCAAAAGAAGTGTGGGATTTCTATCCTTTGTAATAGCTCCCTGTGCACACCCAGGCACGTGATGACCTCTCTTAGGACTACTCCCTCCGTTCACCAAAATACTTCATCATTCATTTTTTTCTTCCACCAAAAACACTTCCACCTTTTATTAAAAAAATCATTTTTACTCCTACTTTTTTCTCACCCTTTCTATCATATCATACTTTTTCATTAATAGCATATCCATCACATCTTACTTTTATCCATCACATCAAAAACAAAATTGGAAAGTCAATTACAATTTAATCATTCCTTATTTTGGCCTTTTCTCAAAGTAGGAAGTGTTTTCCCAAACGGAGGGAGTATATATGTTATACCATGATTTACTTTCTCACTATTCTATTAAGCCTGAGTGTGAGTGTACCCGGGGTGGGCGTTCCACCCCATAATTAAACCATAGAGTAAAGTAGTACGGCCAACTTTAATTTGCAACCCAAAAAAGTACTCCTTTTGTCTAAAAATTATCTTCTAATTACGCGTTATGATTTTTGATTGAATTATTTTTAAATTATTTTATATGAAAAATAGTTTGTGCAATTAAAAGATAAAATTATATATATTTGAAAATTACAATAAAAGATCTGCAAAACTAGACATAATTATACTCCCTAAAGAGGTTTTTTAAGAAAAAAGAGAAGTTCTTTTGGGAACAAAGAAAAAACGAAAAGGGAAGTTCTTTCGGGGACGGAGGGAGTAGTTGTGATGGAATTCGGTATTGATAGAGTTTGTATTATGGCACCCGATCACCGGTCGTTGATGTTGATTACGGCCGGCCACACGCCACAACCCATACTTTCATCACACTTCACCATCACATTCTCAACATTCACTTTGTTATATTATCATCACACTATCAATGTTCACAATAATGTCAAATTCAACTCTTATTTAATGAATAAAAATAATGTCAGCTCTTATTTTGATATTTTGATACTTCATAACATGTTACTCCTTCCGTCCTAAAACTTTCTTCCCAAAGCACTATTCCAACTTCACGGCAATTTATATTTATTTGTGTTTTTTCATGGCCTATATGATAAAATAAAATATTCTTGTCACCACTTGTTTTGTTAAACTTTTGATGTAGTTTTTAAATATGTAAGTTTTATTTTTTATTTCTATACCAATATTTTAATAAAATAGATTGAAAAAACTTGGGATTTTTCTTCGTTTTGCGCAACGGGAAGAATGTTTTAGGACGGAGGAAGTACTCATCTTGGGATATTTTTAATTTATATATTAGGAAATTAAAGGTGGTAAATTGTTTGCCAGTAACCCTGTAATAAACTTCACTACGGGCCTATTTGGGAATATCATTTGTAATAAACTTCACTACGGGCCTATTTGGGAATATCATTTGAGATTAGCGTTGAGATTTTAGATAAAATTTCAACGGTGCAAATCACTTTGAAAACACTATCCGTCGATAGCCTTTTCAAAACGCTATTGCACCCATAAACACTGCTGTTAAATTTTTTTAAAAAAAAACGAATCTGAAAACGCCCTCTTTAAAAAGGAAATTTTGCTATTTTACCTGGTGATCGAGTCAAAGCCAACCAAAGTAGACCGCACATGGAGATTTTAAGGAGGCTTTGCTTACCACCTTGACCCATTACAATTAATGAATGTTTTCTACTCACTTCGTTCTAAAATAAACATTTTTGTTCGGTTTATGATGTTGGATTAAACTTATTTTCAAATTAATATAAGTAAAAAATTATGTAGAATTAAAAAGAATTATATATTAACGAACTACATCGAAAATTCTACAAAATAAATGGTTACAAAGTTCTTTTGTTTTATCAAATGATTGAGGAAAACTAAATGTGTAAGAAAAATGAAGAGTTAAGTTGGAATGTGAGTAGTTGAAATGTGAGTAGTAATTAAAAGTTTTGTGTTGGGAAGGAGGGACCGAGTGTCCATTGAAGTGCTCATTCTCTGTGTTTATAAGATAGTCTAAGGGGCTCTTTGGCAACTTCTGAATGAGTAAGTGCTGAACCAGTAAGAGGTCTGAATCATTAAGTGCTGAACCAGTAAGAGGTCTGAACCATTAAGAGCTAGTATATTGCTTAACTATTCAGAGGCAAATGTCTGATCAATTCAGATAACAGCTCTTAACCATTCAGACTCTGTATAATACTTAACCATTCAGAGGCAAATCTCTTAACCATTCAGACATCTGAACCATTAAGAGGCTGAAACAAACAGTCTGAACCATTAAGTGCTGAATCATTCAGACATCTGAACCATTAAGAGGCTGAAACAAACATCCCCTAAACTTCTTATAATCAAGTTGTTTTTAACGTATAAATTAATCGATGATGTATTTCTATATATGTACTTAAATGCTGATTTTTAAGCTGCTTAATTATAACTAACAAAAAATAAGCAAGTCTTAGTCAATTTTAAGCTATTTTTGATTTCTTTGTTATGACCATATTATTTTCAAAAATATCCATTATCTTTTATAAACATCCACAAATTAGATAACTTGTCTCTCATTTAAGTGATTTTACTATTGCGAAAGAATATTAACTTATAAATTGTTTAAAATTTGAAAACTAGTTATCAACAATAAGTCATAAACACCAACGAACACAGGAAAGCAGCTCCCAAATATTTGAGTTCTAATCTTTAGGATTAACCTAATAAAAGTCAAAAAGAGGTGAAATAATTAATTCAGAGGAACATCCTAATTAAATGCGATGCACTGGCCGGCCTGGTTCATGATACCACAATTTGGAGACATGCATGAAATGGTTTGTTTGCTTCTCTATTTCCACATTTTTTTTAGTTAGCTATTCAATTTTTTAAAAGTCCGATGCGTTGAACCATTTACATACGTTACGTTTTTGGGTTTGTATTTACTCTACTCCTTTTTGCACTTCTCTTTCTCAGTTTCTGTTCCCATTTATTCTTTTTAATTTTCACGGTCTCCATGTAACAATGTGAGATTAATATTACGGAATGATATTTATACGAGGGTATTGATATATTTTATAAAATTTTAATATTTCAAAATTACGTTTCAAAATGAAGCTATTAATATTACATTTGTATTGAAACATATATAATACGGAGTATGTTTTTTTGCGTATCCATGTTAAAATTATAAATTTTGATAAAAAAAATCAAATGAGAAAATTAAATGCAGGTGGAGGGACTAGTAATTAACTTGCCCCGAGAAATTTTTAATTTCGGACGTTGTTTTTTATGAAAATCCTTAAGATTTTCGTGATCGGAGTCCAAAACAGTAAAGGATTCGAACTATTGGATAAACGTTGAAATGCACCCCAAAACCGCAGGAGACTCCTCGTTCAAACTCGCGCCTTTCTTCTTCTCCGTGCGAACGTACGCGTA